AGTGTGTACGTTAAAATGCAAGTTACGGAAAAAAAAATGGACCCTTGTTCTAGTGAAGATCATTCATGTCAAGTTTGTCAACAGTTTTTTTTAACACATTTTAAATATTATATAATAATAATAATAATAATAATAATAATAAAAATAGTAACAATAATAATAATAAATAATAATGATGATGATAATAATAATAATAATAAAAATAAGGATAATAATAATAATATTAATAATAATAATGATAAAATAATAATAACAATAATAATAATAATAATAATAATAATAATAATAATAAAAATAATAATAATAATAATAATAGTAACAATAATAATAAATAATAATGATAATAATAATAATAATAATGATGATGATGTTGATGATAATAATAATAATAATAATAATAATAATAATAATAATAATAATGGTAATAATAATATTAATAATTATAATGATAATAATGATAAAATAATAATAATAATAATAATAATAATAATAATAATTATTATTATTATTATTATTATTATTATTATATTTATAATAATGATAAAATAATAATAATGATAATAATAATATTAGATTGATTTCTGAAGGATCATGTGACTCTGAAGACCTAAGTAATGAAACTGAAAATTCATCTTTAAAATCACCGGAATAATTGATTAAATTAAATTATAAACTTCTTTTGAACAGTTATTTTATGGTGAAATAACATTTCAGTTTTACAACTTGTACTTTTGATTAAATAAATGCAGCCTTGGTGAGCAGGAGAAGCTGATCTTTAAACATTTCAAAACCACACTGACCCCAAACTATTGACCGGTAGTGTGTATATTTATATTCAGCACATACAAAAGTCTTACAAAGATGCGTTGAATTATATAATTTAATATGAATTGAAAAACTGAAGTGAAAATCTGCAAGATAATCTGTGTAGTTAACCACTTGTCAAATTGACCATCACTCCACCTGCTCAACCAATGTGACCTGTGACCTGCTTATATAGAGCCAATGAGATGAGATCTCCACGCTCTCCACAGGTCAATTTCTCATCATGAGGCCAGTGTTCAATACCAGCCCATTTCTTCTTCCTTTAATCATTCTCTTTTCCTCTCCGTCAAACGTATTCTCTTTCTCGCTGATTGTCTCTTTTTTTTCTTCTCAGTTGCTTGCGCTGCTCTTTTCTCCTTTTTGTTCTATTCTTTCTTTCAGCGACTATAGCAAATCAGTTTTCGGCTTTCTTTTGGAGCCACAGAGCCCAGCCAGAGAGCCTCCTTTTCAATTTATCTTTCATCTGTGTGCTTTCTTCTGCTTTCAATCTGGGGTTCCTTTTTTTTTTTCTAGACAAAAAGCCATTTATTTGTCCTCGATCGCAAAGGTCCAGCAAATTTTAAACTGTCTCAAAGCTGACCACAGCAGGCAGAAGAAAGCGGAGACGGGCGACACGGTGGCTCAGCGGTTAGCACTGACGCCTCACACCAAGAAGGTCGCTGGGTCGAGTCCCAGCTGGGACAGTTGGAGATTCTGTGTGGAGTTTGTATGTTCTCCCCGTGTTGGCGTGGGTTTCCTCCGGGTGCTCTGGTTTCCCCCACAGTCCAAACACATGCGCTATAGGGGAATTGATCAACTAAATTATAGTGAGTGAGTGTGTATGGGTGTTTCCCAGAGATGGGTTGCAGCTGGAAGGGCATCCGCTGTGTAAAACATATGCTGGATAAGTGGGCAGTTCATTCTGCTGTGATTTCCCCCACAGTCCGAACACATGCGCTGTAGGGGAATTGATTAACTAAATAGTTCTCCGGATTCTTCATGGTCTGGATAATTTTACGTTTGTACTGTTTTATTTCAGCATCCAAGTTAATGAGCTTTATAACGCAAATTAAATACAGTCACGCTTCTAAAAGACAGCCTGATCACACGAGGAAACGCAAGTATTTTACGCTTTGGCAGTTTAGTGGTTAATTCGTACGAAAATGTACGATTTTAAAAAGTAGGCGTGGCACCCAACCCCACCCCTAACCCCAACCGTCATTGGATGATGAGCAAATCGTACTAAATTATACGAATTAAATCTTACAAATTCATACGAATTAGCCACTAAATCAAAAAGTTACGAATTACCTTGGAATAGACACACCATAGACATGCTGCTTCAGACTAAACGTGCAGGCCGTGTTTTCTGTTTGCGTCATCACAACATACTGTTACAGCCGTGTTGTTTCTTTGATAATGTTCGATGTCCGAATCCCTAGTCTTTTCGTTAAATGTGTTTCCGTACGCTTATTTCATGCGGCCGCCATTTTAAAACAGGGCTGTGGAGGGAAGAAACCCGGAAGTATAGGATCAGCACTGTAAACATTGCAACAACATGCTGTTTACTACAAACATCTAGTTATTGCTGCGACTTCAAAATGCAGATATGGTGTAAACATCACTTTAAGATCATTCAGTTTAGTTTAATTTGAACGATTAAAAGCAGATTAGCATTAAACAACATCACAACCTCTTTAAGAGTAATATGCTTAAGTGTCCTCCCAGGCTTCAGTTCATGGCAGCAGGTAAACACAGTGGAGACGCTTCCCTGCTTCACACTATGTGACCCGATAAAACGACGCAGTCCTTTGTAGCACGTCCTCGTGCTGTCTGTCGTGTTGTCCCGGTACTGATGTTTTAAAAATGTCCATTTCCCACTAACATTTAAGCGCGGCTGAGAAAACACTGCTGATTTGCAATAGTTATTCACCAGTGCTCATCAGAAAGGACTGTGATTGGCTGTGAAAGCAAGCAATGTAAACAAATGAACACATTTCTAATATTTCTCAAGCTAACTGTATATCATTATAAATATTTTAAATGTATTGTTATATTAATAAATATAATATAATCACAATCCTTTATTAATAATAATAATGTATATTATTTATTTTAATATTTATATGTATTATTATTATTATTATTAATTATATACTTTAATAATTATACAGTTTTTTCTTATTTGTGTATGTATTTATCACATTTCGAATTGTGTCTTATTATGTATGTAAGGATGTATTATATAATCACTTTAATATTTTATTCCTTGTTTATGTAATCTGCAATGTTTTGGCAATACTTGACAACTGAATTAAATAGAGAGAGGTTGGCAGCTTCAAACTTATTGAACAGCAACATTCACCACCGTGAAAAATTACAATAGTGACAAACTTGCTAACAAGAAAGCCCAGATCAGCTTAGAATGTATATGCTGAATATTTATTGCCTATTGCAGGGAGGAACTCTGTAAGAAAAAGTCAATACTGGGAAATGAAACAGTGATTGATCACAGTGAGAATGCACTCAGGTTTGTGTTGAGTTCTGCCATTTCGAGAAACATAAACGTCTTTCCTTCTGATGACTTTTTAAAATAATGTACCTGTTTTCTTAACGACAGCCTTATAGTCGAAGTCAAAATGATTACATTTCCCAAATGCTGTTTAACAGATTCAGGATGTTTTCATTGTATGGGCCCTATCATACACCCGGCGCAGTGTGGCGCAAGGCATGGCGCAGTAGTCTTTTGGTAGTTTCAGCTTGGCGCAAGAGTGCTTTTGAGGCGTTGCACTACGCTGTTTAAATAGCAAATGCATTAGCGCTCATATGTGCGCCCATAGACGTTCTGGTCTAAAAAGGAAGCTGTTCTGAGGCGGACCGCTGGCGCGTTGCTATTTTGAGAAACTATAATAGATTTTTCATTAGACCAAAACTAACCCGGTCTAAACTCCAGCGCAGAGTTGCACCTCGCTTACACACTGCTTAATACACAAAAGAGAGCAATAGGCAAATATCTTTACATATGAAAACATTTAAATATTAAGGATATATATAGGATATAATAAGAATAGATATAGAATATAAATAAAGGATTAAAATATTACAAAACATATTATTTACTAGCCTACATAAATATGAAAAATCACTGCTTTATGTCTTCTTCATCTCGGGAGGCTTTTTCAGTTCATTCATAACAATTTGCTTTTGTATAATGTTATTATTATTAGCAGTATTATTTGTTACATCCATATTTATATTTGTTTTATTAAAAACAAGCTTAGATTTGCCCACCTGTCAGGTTTTAGACCATATGGGGCACAGCGTGTGTATTAGGATATAACTCAGTATTTTGACCACACTTGGTCATTATTGTTCATTTATTCGTTTGCTGGAAATTAGAACTGAATTTAGAAAAAGTTTTGAAACGAATATTTGCGCTTAAAAAACAAAATTAATTATTTATAGGCTAATTGATGTCTGTGCGTAAAGGTTTCCCTATCCTAGAGTGAAAATGAAAGTGATCCAATATCTCTCATTCTCACGCAGTAGATGCTCTGTTTAACAGTTTTCTGTTAAAACACTGTTAACTGTGAACTGTTTGCTAGTGAAATGCTCAGTTTTTCCACTTAGACTTACTTTACGTCCTGTAAATAGCAATGCGCTTATGGCGCGACGCAGCTGACTCTTAAAGGGAATGGGAGATGAGACTCTGATTGGTTTATTCTCAAAACACACCTATAACTCATTAAGAAAATAAACTCAACCCTTTTAGACCATGCTCTGTGGCGCAAAGCAGGTTTTCCCATCCTTAAATTAGCAAAAATGCATTCTGACACGCCCTGAAAGCGTTTGCGCTCTGGGCATGGACCGTCAAAATAGAGCCCATTGTCTGATAACATGTTTACTTATGGAAAAAAAGTCATTTGTTTTATTTCGTCTAGAATAAAAGCAGTTCTTAATTGTTTTAAAGCCATTTACAGGTCAATATTATTAGCCCCCTTAAGCAATATTTGTTTTGGATTGTCTCCAGAACAAACCACTGTTATACAATGACTAATAACCCTAAATTTACCCTAACTACCCTAGTTAAGCCTTTAAATGCACTTTAAGCTGAATACTAGTGTCTTGAAGAAGATCTAGTCTAATATTATGTGCTGTCACATATGACTCAAGTAGAAAGTGAAATGGTGTCTCACCCGCATCTCCTGGGCTTCTTTCTGGCCGTCCCAGGCCCAGCTCCGCTTGGTGAAGTAGTTGACTGTAGCAAACTCAATAAGCGCCGAAAACACAAACGCATAGCAGACGGCCATAAACCAGTCCATGGCTGTAGCGTAGGCCACTTTGGGAAGTGAGTTTCTGGCACTTATACTCAGTGTGGTCATAGTCAGGACGGTCGTGACACCTGAGAACAGAAATTAGTGAGCGTTAGAGAAGTGAACACACTGGGACTAATCGTTTTTTTTTAGAAGTGCTGTAAGTAAGTTATTCACACCCCTTGGCAAATTCTTGCTTAAAGTTACTCTTATTTGACCAACAATTGCTCTGCTGACAGAAAATGACACAGGCTTCTCCCAAAAGATAATAAGATGATGTACAGGAGGCATCATTGTAGATTGTTTCTCTCTCAGAATTTATTTACATTCCAACTAAAACTTTAAGTCAGAATTTTGCCAGGGCAATGAATAATTTCAGGCTCGACTGTTTATTATTTCAGATATTGGGTAGGATCATTGATGTAGAATAAGACTGCTCCCAGCTAACTCTATCAAGCCTCTTCAACTGCTCCAGAACGCAGCAGCACGAGTGGTCTTTAATAAACCTAAAAGAGCACATGTCACTCCGCTGCTCATCCGTTTGCACTGGCTGCCAGTTGCTGCTCGCATCCTGATGTTTGCCTACAAAGTGACTTCTGGCCTTGCTCCTTCTTATCTGCTCTCACTTCTGCAGATGTATGTGCCCTCCAGAAACTTGTGTTCTGTGAATGAACGTCGCATCGTGGTTCCATTCTAAAGAGGGAAGAAATAGCTTTCCCGAACTCTCACGCTCAATCTGCCCAGTTGGTGGAATGAACTCCCTAACTGCATCAGAACAGCAGAGTCACTCGCTGTCTTCAAGAAACCACTAAAAACTCAACTATTTAGTCTCCACTTCCCTTCCTAATCTGCAATTGCCTCTCTGAATATCACACTAACTGTACCCAAAAAAAAAAACAAAAAAAAAAACTAACTAATACTACTAATACTTTCCTTCTTAGACTTTACAGACCTGAAACTTGCCTATAGCACTTATTCATTGTTGCTCTTTTAGTTGTGTGAATTGCTTCCTTGTCCTCATTTGTAAGTCGCTTTGGATAAAAGCGTCTGCTAAATGACTAAATGTAAATGTAAATGTACTAAATAGGATCTTAACTAAATATTAATAAATACTGATAAACAACCAATATCATATTATTAATAGGCAGGTTACAAGCAAGCAATGTAAACAAATGAAGAGTTCAGATGCATTAACCTCTAAATACCATCTGGTATTTTCTTCAAAATGAAATTTTTTTCAGGCTCCTGTAAGTATGTTTAGTAATTTCACTTTTATACCAAAGAATAACTTCTTTTCATGGTCTTCAAAGTGAAATAAATTAACATAAACAAAGAAGGAGGAGAATAATGCACATTTTTGATGAAAATTGGAGACGGCATTCAGAGTTTTTTTGCATCTAAACTCTATTGATGTCTAATTTTTATATTAGTCATTTCAACTTGCATCAATCAAACAGTAAAATATTAAGTTAAACGTTGTAAAACTTAAAAAAAATGTAGCTGAAACCTGATTTACAAATTAAAATAAGTTAAAAGCAATGTAAAATGTTTGTTGTCTTTACTCTTTGTTATTGCATTTTTTTTACATTGAGTAGTTAAGAGTGGGAATTAGTATTTAATTAGAACTGAAGTGTTCCTAATGTTAGTTAAAGGGCCATGAAACCTCCTCGTTTCAGCAGGGTGTTTTCACACCTCTACTTTGGAAAAAGTCAGAAAAGTGGGCGTGTCCAGCTCTGTTTAGGGGGGAGTGTCAGAGGAAGAAAAGTGGGAGGGTGTGGGAGTGTCTATTTGGGCACGCACGAGTTTCAGAGTCAAAATACACACACACAGGAGAAAGTGATGGTGTTTAAACTACATGGACATCTGAATTATTTGCCAAATGATTAAATGGTGGACTTTAACTGCAGTTTGGCTCTTTCATTCAGGGAATTCATTCATGTCCCTCGCGACAAACGAAATATTTGATTGGAGGATCTGCTCTAAGCGTGTATTTTTCATGCAATGTTTGATACCGCACAGCAAATGAGAGAAAAAAACCTCAGCATTTCCAGGAAACTTAGATGCTCTCGGCAGGTAGCGTCAGAAAGCAGCATGTGTTATTCCGGTCACAAAATGCGGTGAAAACCCTATACAAGGTTAAAGTTTGGTTGTGGTGCTGACATGTTTACACTCAGTGCAATAGTTAACTTAGTTCGATACGAACAAACTGAAAAAAAAAAAGAGCACTGGTCGCTCAATTACCAAATCTGTAGAGACAGGACAATCACCAGTAACTAGAGCCTCGTCTTTATTAAGAGGAGACTACAAGTGAATCCGGATTTCATCGTTTGCAGATGAGAACAGCTCTCAGGTAAACAATAATCCTCCTTAGACATGTAAGTTATTGTTGTCGAGCGTCGCGTACACTGTTAATCCACAGCAAAAAAGCAACACTTCACACTTGTTTTGCACACTGTGACAGTAATGAATATTAATGAAGTTGCACAATAGAGCGTGCTGATTGGTTTAAACCAAGCTTTACTCATGCATTAATGCAGCACACATTAAGACGTAACAAGACACACTCTGGCACAGACGTCCAGTCTGCACGCTGGAATACACGCTATTATCTCATGGCCGTGACGCAGCTTCAAAAATTTGTTTCAAACCGGAAGTAGGAATTTGCTTGAAATAACTCAAAAACAACCAATTTACACTTTTTAGTGAAATATATGTGTTCTTATAGTGTTTATAGCAGTGTGGGACACATATATGACTGTCAACAGCTCAAAAAATGTGTTCTGGTGTTTCGTGACCCTTTAAAAAAACAAATGTTTATGTTAGTGCATTAATTAACAAATATTTACTTTCAATCCTAAATATGTATTATTAAAGCCTACAAAAGATTAATAAATGTGGTACTGCACATTTTAGAATGTGAAAGAACCTTAATACCACGTGATAATAACAGAAATCTTATTGTAAAGCGTAAAACATAAATCTATTCTATGGCAGGCTCTGGTCCATTAACACCGCCATCCATTTTTCCAAACCATCTGTCTTATTTAAATGGTGTGGAAGCAGGAGCAGATCCAGCATCTCAGACTGCAGATGGAGAGAAAAAACACGGGTATGGATGGATAGACATACACTTTTACACCTGCAGGCAATATAGTGTTTCCAGTTCACCAATGCGGATGTCTTTGGATTGACTTTGAATATGCGAACGCCATGCAGAAAGGTGTACAACCTGTGAGCTGGTCAAAACAACAAACCTAGTGTACACTAGAAAATGATTCAATGAGTTTACTAAATGTTTTACTAAAGGTAAGTGCTTGCAAACAATTTCTACGGGCTGAATTTAAACATCCTTTGTCACCAGTTCTGTTCATAATTTATATGGATGGAATTTCAAAGCGCAGACTTGGGCTGGAGGGGGTTCAAGCTCCACAGGATTTCATCTTTGTTATTCGCTGATGATGTTGTTCTGTTGGCTTCATCGATTATGGACCTTCAGCATGCACTGGGGCAGTTTGCTGCCGAGTGTTGCTGGGATGAGAATCAGCACCTCCAACTGCAAGGTCATGGTGCTTCACCGAAAAAAGGTGGTTTGCCATCTCCAGATTGGAGGAAAGTCCTTATCCAAGGTGGAGGAGTTTAAGTATCTTGGAGTTTTGTTCATGAGAGAGGGAAGGATGGAACGTGAGATTGATAGGCGGATTGGTGCAGATGCAGCAGTAATGTGGTCGATGTACCGGTTCGTTGTGGTGGAGAAGGAGCTGAGCCGAAAGGCAAAGCTCTCGATTTACTGGTCAATCTACGTTTCTACTCTCACCTATGAGCTTTGGGTCATGACTGAAAGGACAAGATCTCGGATACAAGCTGCCGAAATGAGTTTCCTTCGAAGGGGGGCAGGGTGGAGGGTGAAGAGTTCTGTCACCCGGGAGGAGCTCGGAGTAGAGCTGCTGCTCCTCCACATCAAGAGAAGTCAGCTGAGGTGGCTCTGGCATCTGTTTCAGATGCCTCCTGAACGCCTAGCTAGGGAGAGGTTCCAGGCATGTCCCACCGGGAGGAGGCCTCGGGGAAGACCCAGGACACGCTGGAGGAACTATGTCTCTCGGCTGGCCTAGGAATGCCTAAGGATCCCCCTGGAGGAGCTAGAGGAAGTGTCTGGGGAGAGGGAAGTCTGGGGTTCTCTCTTAAGACAGCTTACCCCGGAAAAGCAGTGAAAAATAAATGAATGAATGAATGAATTTAACAAATAATTTGAGTTGAACATTGCTAAATTTAATTTGAAAGTGAAACCGCGCTTTAGATGGCATTGTAAACAACTACGAGGCACAACGTAGATTCTGCTCTGCTTCTTGGCTTTGTAGCTGTTCATCAAGACCAGGGGTTCCCAAACTTTTCAGCCCGCCACCCCCAAAAAAATAATCAGTGATTTGCGACCACTATTTTTCAAGGTGATTATACTTTAAATTTACAAACGTTGCACACACACAACTATAGGCAAATATAAACATGAGCATATTGACAACACAAAAATGCAACAGTCTAATAACCGTGTAATGTTTTTTATAGTCATTTATTAATTTAATTTGATAAAAATAAATAAATAAAGGCTGTTGGCTGATTTTTATTTGTATGTTGTTGTTTCTTTAACGTAACTATTAACTATCTTCTTTTGGAAATCACTAAGCGACTCCTTGTCATTGTCCCGCGACCCCACAAGGGGTCTTGACCTCCACTTTTCAAGATGACGAGAACCACTGATCAAGATGACGACAAGGTTTGTTTAAGCTCGGGTCGACCATGGCTTGTTAATATATGTATGTATTATTACAGTGTAATTTCTTGGCTGTGTATTTAAAAATTGTGCTTCCTTTGTTTTTCAGTCTCCTGCTTGTGTATGGGCTGGTGACGTTATTCTGTAAACCAATAGCATTCAGCTTTGGTACCCTTTTGTTGTGCTGGGTACCCTTTCGGAAGGGTACCCATAAAGTGGTATGGTATGTTTCGCCTTTTGGTACCTTTTGACAGTGGAAACGGCCATAAAATCGCACCGTACTGTATCATAGCACTCAGTGGAAACGGGCCATTAGTGGCCCATAGTTTCATCCGGATGATAACAGATT